GGATGGGACAATATACAATATTATTGCATATTTTGCGCTAAAAAACATTTGAATTTACATTATTGTGATAATCGGGATCATTGATTATTATTATTATCACATAGGTATAACTTGACTTGAAAAAGCTGTCTCTCCAGCATACAGTCCTATATTGATTTCCTGATTTATTTTGAACAAGGGGACATTGCTCACATTTTTCCAGTCATTCCAAAATCCTCATCCTATCACCATGGCTGATTGCATTTATTTTGGCCTAGATAATTGTGACATGAAATTTTCATATCGTCCCATGTCTAGTGGACGTGTCAGGAATGCCTGTTTTGAAAGTCTGAGGAGTGGGTCCTTCTTATTGATATATGATTGATTTGTAGTCATTGCCATAATACAGATGGAAGTTGTCTGAGTTACCGTGGTGACTGACTGAGGAGCCAGCTGATGTGCTGCCAGCCACTGCGAACCAACAGGGCGTGGATTGGGAATGTCACCTAAAGAGACACATTATTCCTAAAGATGCTATATTGTAGAATGTAAGCTTTTCATGTGTTTTGTGAGTATAAAGCAGGTCTACAGTAGGTGCTATATAAATACTGTGAAAGTATCAAAATGCTTAATCCTAGACACTACTTGTATTTCTGTTTCAGTTGTGAGAGAACAGTTGATACAGTTTTTTTAATTAGCTCTGGTAGCAAACAGCAAGTGGCCGAGCTAGCAAGCCCTGCAAGAAGCCACTACATCACTAAGGCTACGTACATTCACCCTGCAAGCCTTAGCACACCATTCTGATTTATTTCTCAGATCAGGTCACAGTCCTGACCTGCTTGATGAATGTACATGTAGAGTGATTAACAGTCTTATGAATTCTGATGAGACTGTTCATACTGAGGTCACATTGGCCACATATGAAAGTGGCACAAATCAGAATCACAAAGATCAGATTCTTGGATTGGACTGTTCACTATGAGCAAAAAAATCTGGGGTCACTTCCTGCTCCTTTGTGAATGGATCTCGCTGTTCTGATTTCACCAGGGTCGAAGACTAATTCAGACTCAGATACTTGGTAACACTGGATTAGCTCTTCATCCGCTGTTATTTTTGCATGTCTTTCAAAAGCTTACCATTTGGGGAACATCTTTGATCATATCATACATGTCTTTCATCATGGGCTTGGTGTAGGTTTGTTTGAAAATTGGAGGAAGATAGAGTACCTGTCAGAAATAATGCAGCTGTAAATCAAAAGCATTCATCATCACCAACAGGACTAGTCTATAGCTGACCTAGCAGTCACATGAGGCTGTAATGCTCATTTTACATGAAATAATATAATTGTTGGATGCATCCCTGAAAAATAGAGAGACATAGGCCAACATTTTCCATTCCTTTGGTTATGAACAAATACTGACAGTATTCCAATTAACCTCAGCTGTACTTTGTGTTTATTGCTAATTAGTAAATATTGGTACATGTTAGCATGCTAAATGGTTAACTTAAACAATATACTTGCTAAACAGCAGGTATCAATCAAACTTGTTTCTAACCAACTCAGGCAGAAAATGCTCTTATCCGACTCATGACGTAAAAAACCTACATTTCTAAAGTCCTAACTACATTCCTGTGTTTGACTCAAAGCAATATGTAAGAACTGATACTACTCTCCATCAGTCAAATTCATACTTCATTATAGTCTATTTGCCAACCAAGAGAGAGCCCCATTGTTGCTAAACAGCAGAATGGGCACCAGAGCCTAAGTACTACAGTGATTCCTAATCAGGCTGTAAACATGTAATACCTTCCATCCAGGAGACAATGTCACATCTGGAAACTTCTCCTGAATTAACTGCAGAAATCTGGAAAAGGGAGGAGAGAAATGTACTTTAAGTTATGATGGAGCAGTGAATAATGATAATAATGCGATACTTATTTTATTTACATTGTTTGCCCGCTACAATTCATCCTTTCTTTCATTTCTATTCTACCTTTTCTTGTATGCTATTATATGCTGAGGCATTTTCCTGATCTCCTATAGTTGATTATCAGTGTATCTAATTTGGAAATGTGGCAATAATATTTTGGCTTGTGAATAGCAAAGAACTGCAGGACAAAACACATCAAATTCGGGCTTGTTCACCTGGTTCCATTGACTACGGGCACGGTGTTATGTACGTTGGGACCGTGGATGATGTCTGCATTTAACCACACAGGCCTGTTTATTCCTCTGCTTCTGTTCTTTTGACTAAGCAGGTCCAGTGACAAACCCACGGCTTCCAGATACTTAAAATCCAACTTCATGGCTGCAGGGAGACACAGAGCATCATGTACTTTTACTTTTAATTAAAATGTACTTTGTTGGACGGACAAACAGAAAGATATCTCTTCTACTCTATGGTACCTTTTCTAGAGGCCAGCACAGCATCCAACCATTGGTCCAGAGTGTTGTCACTGTAGATGTTAGGAGGGTGGGCCATGATAGGGATTGGTTTCTGACTGGGTGTTCCTTGACCCTGCAGAGTGACATCAGACTCCAGGATCATAGCATCACCTGAGGGCATGAGGGTGGGTTACAGTTTTGTCCATTCATGAATTTACTCACTGTTACAGGTGAGTGCTATCCTTTCAACATCAATAACTCCACTGTCACCACATTAGTCAGCAGAGCTGCTGGGACAAACAACACAATCAAGAAGAATGCAGTTTTGTCTGTGTGTGTGAGTGTTAGGGAGTTTACTTGCGAGAGCTTTGTTCATTTCGTCCTTGCTATTGGCTCTGTGAAACCAGGTAGCCGACAGGCCATCGGGTTTGCTAATTTCACCCGACTGAATCAGGAAGTCCAACATGTCTCCACCAGTAGAAAACGAGGGAAGAGCAGCTGAGGAACCAGATTGGATAGTGAGACAAACACAGGCACGTTTAAATGTTGGACTATAAAAACATGGGGCTTTATATCATTCATAGAAAATCAGATACAGCAGGGAATAGATAATATTGATCTATCAGTATTTAGTGATATGATTTAGTATCAGTTTACTATTTCAATCCGCATTTTTTTTATTGCGGTAGCACTTCAGTTATTGTTTTTGCCTGATTTTCTTTTCTTTCAAGTACTTCCAAGAAAAAAAGGTACCCAAAAAATAGTTACTTACTATACTACTATAATACAATATATAATACAATAATTAATACAATAGTGTTCGTCTTTAGCCAGTGCTAATGCCATGTTCAGGTAATGTTAGCCTTGAAGTGAACACTGGTCAGCTAACGCTAGCGAGCTTAGTTTTTGTTTTTTTTGCCAGCAACAAAAAATTAAAAAAATGACTTCATCATAATTTCATCAAACTTAGTCTTTTGATGTTATTTTGATGTTAGAGACACCCTAGGGGCAGAAATTACATAGATAGAGCAGAATGTAAACTCCGCCCTAAATTCCCAGAAAAAACACAAAGGCCAGGCCTCAGTGTCCTTGGCAGCAGCATACAGATTATTGATTAATCAGTCTTAGCTAGTGTTATCAAGTCTATTCATACTGATAAACTCAAGTACAAGTGCATATAAAAAGTGTTCATTCCATGTTTTATTATCTTACAATGTTCATTATATTAATTATAACGCTGAACAATTCACACCACAGCCCATGTGATTTCATAACAGCTGTTTCACCGAATGTGACCTCAGTTACTCTTATTTAACATCACCATGATATTAAGCTTGATATTAAGCAAACACAGCTGCTGTTTTAGCATTCTATTCAAAACATTATGTGCGTCAGCTACATCATTTCACAGAAGTCTTACAGAGGAGGGGTTACTGTGTCAGGTCTCTACAGGCAGTTGATCCCTATTGTTAGTCAGGTTCTGTTCCAGTGAGAGCAGCACTCACTCACCTCTGCACAGGGGATAGAACACAAGTCTACCTCCTGGAGTAATTTAACTGAAACTCACTTGTAGAGCTTGTATCATTTCCTCTACAATCAAAAAAGGGTCACAAGCTGGTGATGGCTAAGTGGGTCTTTTAATATAGCCCACATCTCTGAAACGGATGGTCTCATTATGGGCGTACTTGTAACTGCCAACAACACAACATCCCTGCAATGTGCCTGTTTATTCTATGCTGGATCCCATCCAGACCTGTACACTTACTTTATTGCAGTGCCATTTTAAAATTTTAAATCTACTATGGTTACACAACTACAAATTACTACACTACAAATACTGTATTTAAATGAAATGTGAACAGTATAACTTCATTGGTAGAATCTTTTAGAATTTATTAGAACTTTATCTGGTTCAGACAGACTATAACTAACTCTACTACTACATATGGTTATATGTCTGAATCCAGTACCACATACAATATGTGCATTGGGTCTTATTCAGAAACAGTGCATATGCAAAAATCTGTCTGTCTGAATTTGTTCATAGCCTGCAAACAAATTTAGAACATCTTCACAAGAAGGAAGCTAACATAACTATTCCTCCAAAAAATTCTGTCACTTATCCCCATGAATTAAACCTAACTCAAAAATGAATTGGAAGTAATAACTTGTTGTTTTGAGTGCACTTAAATCTGTGCAGTATTTTAAGTGATTGTCAGCTGTTTTGACAGTTAATGTAATAATTTGCTTTAGTGGAAGAAAACATTAAGAAGATGCATTAAAGGTAGTCTTACTATTCAGATAAGATAGGATTGGAAAAGTGCTGTATATGAGTGTAATATACTTACTAGTTTTAAGTTCAATTAACTGAATTAAATTGGTACAATTAACTTAATTTGCCTAAGTCATAATTTGCCCAACAATAAATACTTAGTTACTTTTCATGCTCAAGTCTTAGAAGTAATACATTCAAATTGGTTTCCTCAAACTAACGCACAAATAATGAAAGCCTGACTGTCTTAGACAATGTAAACACACCTTTTAACTAAATGCAGAGGATATTAAATCACATTTAATAAAAAAAGGCTTTAATAGACAAGAATATTTACTAATGCACTGGCCAAATATATAACCATGAAATTGACACCCTTTTGTCCTCATCAATAATTGTCATAATTCAAATATTCAACTATAACACAAACATTGTTGTGTGCATTTTTGGGTAGGAACTATTTTCTTTCTATGCAGAAGGAAGCATACATCTGCTCATGGATGAGAGGCTTGTGCTTGTACCCGTGCTGTAATGTTAGCTCACCTAGCGTCACTGAGATTGATAACATTCAGCTACAGTTGGCGCATGTAGTTCTGTATTTCTGTGGATTATCTTGAGTAACAAGGTCATGGTGGAGACATTGTCATTAAGTTTTTCAAATGTAATTTTATGGCGCTTTGTGCACCACAACCCGAGTGCCATCTGGTTCCATTATATTGGAATAAAGGCAGATACTGTATCTCTAGGGTGGCTATCTCCAGAACTCAGTCACTCATGCCAAAACAATCTAGATGGATAAATAGCACTACAGGTAAGAGGGAAAATTTATTTTTAATTTTGGGTGAACTGACCCTTTAAGGGGCTTGTACACGCTCAAATTGATGTAGGACACCTTATCTCTGATAATTCACTCTGACTCAAAGGGCAAAATCAATGAAGCACTCTAATGAATCATACAGTATATATCAAATATCTGTAAGAATGTACCTGACTTTTTAGTGAGCACCACAGCTGGAACAATAATGACGATCAGCAGGACGACAAGTCCAACAGCCGCAGATATCATTATCAGTTGTTGTTTTGTCAGAAATCCCAGATAAAGGTCTTGTTGTCCTTTTTGTCTTGAGTCCAAACCTTGAAGGTTAGGCTGAGGCCTAAACCTAGAGGAACACAGCAAAACATACAAGGGGTGATCACATGCCTCACTGTGCATCGTCATGCATCTATCATATGAACATTTAGGAGAAATATTCTGTAATATCCTCAGGTGTGATTTGTTCAAGGACACAAATTTAAAATAAGTTTTTACTGAGTCTTAAATATGGTGAAATTGTCACAAGCTTATTTTTAGCGTTGTATGTACAGCTTGATAGATAAGAAAAGAAATTGTATTGTCTGTCACTGACCTGTTTTGTCTTTCTTCTGCCTCTCTTTGATTTTCCTCTCTTTCGGCCATCTTCTTTTGTGTGGTCTTTCACTGTCCCAAGGATTCAAAAATGAAGTCTTTATAAAGAGCTGCAGAACAATACACAGACCAACCGACAGACAGATGGTTAGCAGTTTTTCCTGTGGTTTATATGTGCCTTATCTAAAGAGCAGAGATCACAGAGGTCTGATAAGGTGCACATGTTCTCACCACTAATCTTTGTTTTTTTTCTTGTAAAATACAGATAGTTTTACCTTTACAGGGTGTCTAAAAATATTTAAAGTCCAGATGAAATGAAAAATGCCTTTTTTGACTTTTTTGAGATTACACCCCCAGTCATATTGTACCCCTATTTAACAGTGTATGCCAAAAATCAATTGCTTTGTATTAGTGTGTGTGAACCAACCAATTTCAACCAATAATATCACAACATTCACCCATCAATCAATCTTCAACTTGTAGTGACACAGAGCTAAGGTCCATTAGTTAGCTAGCTAGGCCAGGCTACACTGATTACTGTACAAAACCACAACTTTATCATTTGTACAAAATCAGTGATTTGCATGAAAACTGGATCATATTTTATGGAGAAAATATTTTCTGCGCTAACTGCTAATGTAGCAGCTGTCCGTGTGCAGTGGAACTATGAATATGCACAATTTTGCTAATTTCCTGCTGGACACAAGATGTCTCCTACTTCACTGTAAAGTCTATTCTCAGTGGATGAGCACTGGTGGATTCAAGTTTCTACATCACACTGTACAAGTTGATACTGGACCAGGACTGACTTCCAGACTATTTGTGATGTCAC